AAAAAATAAGGCTTGGACTCTGTCTTTTAGAATTTATTATCTGGATTAAAGAATAAAAACTGCTATTTCATGCATATCTCCTCCTAACTTCTGATTTTGCAGTTTGTATCTGGCTATCACAGAACCACCCCTGTGCTTTTGGCTTCCTGTCCTCAAGGAAAGGCATTAGCCTATGAATGAAAGTGTGGGCTGCGCCTGCTTTTCACTCAATTTGCCTACTACTTTTCCATTCCCAGTTTATCCAAATCAGATCTTTTAATTAGCAAAACTTGGGCTGGGCACAGTGGCTCATGCCTATAATCCTAGCACTCTGGGAGGCAGAGGTGGGTGGATTGCTTCAGCTCAGGAGTTCAAGACCAGACTGAGCCAAGAGCAAGATCCTGTTTCTAAAATTAGCCTAGCATTGTGGCAGGCACCTGTAGTCTCAACTACTCTGGATGCTAAGGCAAGAGGACCACTTGAACCCAAGAATTTGAGGTTTCTGTCAGCTGTGCTGCCACAGCACTCTACCAAGGGCAACAAAGTGAGACTCAGAGAAAAAGAAAAAGGACATTATAAGAATTTGGAGATTTGGCTCAGCACCTGTGGCTCAAGTGGCTAAGGCACCAGCTACATACACCTAAGGTGGCGGGTTCGAATCCAGCCCAGGCCCACCAAAACAACAATGACAGCTGCAACCAAAAAATGGCCGGGTGTTGTGGCGGGCACCTGTGGTCCCAGCTACTTGGGAGGCTGAGGCAAGAGACTTGCTTAATCCCAGGAGTTGGAAGTGTCTGAAAAAAAAAAAAAAGAATAGTTTCACCACCAAGATAATCCTTTCTGTGATTCACTATGGAATAACTGCTATCATGGGTACTCCTGAAATAATTGATTATTGAGTACCTAGGTACTTTAGGTACTAATAAACCCCTGAAGAAAAAATTCCATCATTCCTTCACTCCTTCACTCTCTTCTTTCCTCCCTCTACACGTCTCTTTCCTTCTCTTTAAAAAAAAAAAAAA